CCATTTCTGCTCAAGCGCATCCCCACATGCATGCTCTCCAATTGCGTTCCATTTTTAACATAAATAGAATTTATGATGATTTAATTTAGAAAGAAATGAAGAAATCAAGTAGAGAAAAAGAAAAAGAAGAGAAGTTCAATACTCGAGTTTTGTGCTATTCTCGTACGAAAAACACTTAAAAATATCAAAACATAGGTTGGCAAATGAGAGTGGTCTAATACGAAAATGATACTCCCAAGTGCTTGGTACATACATGGTAGGGCGGCAACAGAAACTAGCCCAAGATTGTCCGATTCATAGGAATTGACCCTAATAAATCCAAGCTATAATAGAACCCTATATCACGGCTAGGAGTCGAGAATAATAAGCCAAGAACTTTAAGGTCATAAATGTCTTTTCCCAACACATTTCATTCTCAACGATAATAAAAATTAATATTCGTACCAACAATCATCCAACGTTCTAATTAGTTTCTAGTCTAATAGTAGTTTTGAAATATTTACGACCACGAATATTCTTTTTCATATAGCATATTTAAAGTGTGGTTGATGGAATTAGCAGGCATTTAACTCAAGTTGGGGAAGTTGTGGAGATGTGACCATTTGAAAAGGAAAATCATGTTTTAAAAACATGTAGACATGAGGTGGAGGTAAGAGACGTGACCGTCTGGATACAGTACAGATTTGTAGCTACTAACCATTGGTGCATCATAAACTTGTATATGTACTTGTAATTCATTATATATCACACTCACTCGCTCACAATTTCCTTCATTCAGCCCTCTCTTTCTTTCACTGCAAGAGTGAGTAAAATGCTGAACCACCCACCATTACATTACAGGTGCTCCAACCAGGCCACCTGGTTCCTTTATCAGAAACCATTGCTTCCTGGTAATGTTGATGCATGTGTCTCATTGCAACACAGCCTCACACCACCTGCTGCTTCTCCCCTTCGCTTCACTTCTCCCAATGTCATTAAGCCCTCCGCTGTGCATGTGTCTGTGCCTTCAATCCAGTCCCCTGTTTATACCAAAGCTGTGGTTACTACTGTCCAACGGCCCATCCACCAGCTCTTTCCAAAGTTTGGGTTCATAGGAAGGCTTCATGATATCATTAATAGGCGGAGCAGAGTACTCGCCTTGGAGCTTCTTAGTGCTGACATGGATCCCAGTACGTCTTCTGAATTATTATTGCCTTATTTTATATTTGTAATCATGTTTGTTGAGGTTCGTTGGAATGTTATGTTAACTAATTAAGATGTGAGATCTCATATCGGTTGGAGAGGAGAACGAAGTTGTGAGATCTCACATCGGTTGGGGAGTAGAACGAAACACACTCTACAAGGGTGTGGAAACCTCTCCCTAGCCGATGTGTTTTAAAAACCTTGAGGGAAATCCCGAAAGGAAAAAACCAAAGAGGACAATATCTGCTAGTGGTGAGCCTAGGCCATTACAGAAGCATTCTTTATAAGGGTGTGGAAACCTCTCCCTGACAGGCGTACTTTAAAAATCTTGAGGGAAAACCCTTTTTACAAGGGTGTGGAAACATCTCTCTAACCGACGTGTTTTAAAAATCTTGAGGGGAAACCCTCTTTATAAGGGTGTGGAAACCTCTCCTTAATATACCTATTTTAAAAATCTTGAGGGGAAACCCTCTTTACAAGGGTGTGGAAACATCTCCCTAGCCGACGTGTTTTAAAAATCTTGAGAGGAAACCCTCTTTACAAGGGTGTGGAAACCTCTCCCTAATAGACGTGTTTTAAAAACTTTGAGGGAAAACCTAAAAGAGAACTTTCTTTATGAGGGTGTGGAAACCTCTCACTAACAGACGTGTTTTAAAAATCTTGAGGGAAAACCCAAAAGAGAAAGCTCTCAGAGAACAATATTTACTGGTGGTAGCCTCGGGAAGTATGTAAGAGACACTATCTTTCTCTTGGTATGATTTGGTTTTGAATGAACTTTTTTTTGTATTTAGCAACGGGATTAGAGAAGGGAAGAATGAAAGCGTATGAACAGAAAGTGAAGAGAGAGGACGATGAGATAATTTACGAGATAAGTTTCGTCATTCCAGCAGACTTTGGCCCAATTGGAGCGGTTTTGGTTGAGAATATGCATAAGAAAGAGGTGTTCCTTAAGGACATTGTGATCCATGGCATTCCAACTGGCCCTCTTCACTTCTCATGCAATTCTTGGATCACTTCTAAAGCTCAATGCAACGATAGGAGAATCTTCTTCACCACTAAGGTAATCTCTAAGCAAACACTTTCCTTTGCTTGGGTTCTTTCTTACAACTTTTAATGAGATCAAACTCTAACAATGGTTGATCATGTTAGTCATACTTGCCATCAAAAACACCAGACGGGCTAAAGAGACTCAGACTAGAAGAGCTTAGGATTTTGCAAGGCAATGGGTATGGAAAGCGCGAGAAGCAAGAAAGGATATACGATTATGATGTCTACAATGACCTAGGAAATCCAGACAAAGGCGACGAGTATAAAAGACCCGTGCTTGGTGGTAAACAACATCCTTATCCTCGACGCTGTAGGACTGGACGTCCACGCACTCAAACAGGTTTTCTTTTATTTGGTCTTTCACTGTTGAAAATTGTTGGGAGAGAGTCCCACATTAGCTAATTTAGGGAATGATCATGGATTTATAATTAAGAAATACATCTTTATTGGTATGAGGCTTTTTTGAGAAGCTCAAAGCAAAGTCAGGAGAGCTTATGCTCGAAGTAGACTATATCATACTATTGTGGAGAGTCGTAATTCCTAACAGATATGGATGATTCTAACCTACGTATGCTTGGAAAATCTGTAGATCCATCATCAGAAGTGAAAAGTCTGGAGTTTTATGTGCCTCGAGACGAAGCATTCTCAATACCAATGATACAAGAAAACCCATTAACAAAGGCACTTCATTCCATGTTGTCTGCCCTCCTACCAGCTTTGGACACCATCGGCACAGACAAACAGTGCAGTCTTTCTAAACACACTTGGAGGTTCAATTCTCTTCTTCCAACACTCATGGGTATCCTACTCTTAGATTCTTCTCAAACATCCAATAATGGTAAGAACTTTGAAGCATCGTGTAATTAAAATCTCTTAACAAATTAATTCAATGTAATTGATCTTCATCTTCTTCTTCATTGTTATTCAGGAGACAAATTCTTTTGGTTTAAAGACGAGGAATTTGCTAGACAGACACTTGCAGGGCTCAACCCTTATAGCATAAGGCTCGTCACGGTATAACAATAATTTTACAGTAATCCATGGATTTTGGGCTCAACCCTTGTAGCATAAAGCTTTAATGATTGAGAAATTGTGTCCAGGAATGGCCATTGGAGAGTAAGCTTGAGCCATCTATTTATGGTTCTCCTGAATCAGCAATCACTGATGAAATAGTCGAGCAACAAATCAAAGGATTCATGACAATTGATGAGGTGTGTGTTTGTATATGCTGAAGGATCAAAACGATTTATAATTCGTTTTGGGTCTAAAATTTTGAATGTTGTGGGGGTGCAGGCAGTGAAACAGAGGAAGCTATTTATACTAGACTATCACGATCTGTTCATACCATATGTAGCAAAGGTGCGAGAGCTTAAAGGAAGAACACTATACGGATCAAGGACATTATTTTTCTTGAACCCGGACAACACTTTAAGGCCACTGGCTATTGAGCTCAGTAGGCCACCAATTGACGACAAACCACAGTGGAAAGACGTTTTCACGCCATGTTGGGATGCCTATGGCCTCTGGCTTTGGAGGATTGCCAAAGCTCATGTTCTTGCCCATGACTCTGGTCATCACCAACTTGTTAGCCACTGGCTTAGAACTCATTGCTGTGTGGAACCTTACGTTATTGCTACACATAGACAACTAAGTGCAATGCATCCAATTTATAGACTTTTGCATCCCCATTTTCGACACACCATGGCAATCAATGCAGTTGCTCGCGAAACTCTTATCAATGTGGAAGGACTGGTTGAGAGCATTTTCTCACCAGGAAAATATTCTATGGAAATCAGTTCCGTGGTCTATGAGAAACAATGGCAATTCAACTTAGAAGCTTTACCTGCCGACTTAATTCACAGGTAAATCCTTTAAACAAATGTATTCTTCTTATACAACTTTTACTTAACCATTTGAATTAAAACAGGGGGTTGGCTGTTGAAGATCCAAATGCACCTCACGGATTAAAGTTGAGTATTGAAGACTACCCTTTTGCCAATGATGGCCTAATCCTTTGGGATGCTATCAAACAATGGGTAACAGAATATGTGAATCACTACTATCCAGACCCAAGTCTTGTCAATTCAGATGGAGAACTTCAAGCATGGTGGACAGAGATCAGAGAAGTAGGCCATGGAGATAAGAAGGACGAACCATGGTGGCCAATCCTCAACACTCCTAACGACCTCATTCATATTGTCACAACCATCATATGGGTTACTTCCGGCCACCACGCCGCAGTCAACTTCGGACAATATCCTTTTACGAGTTATTACCCAATTCGACCCAGTCTTACTCGACTCAACATACCCACAGAGGAACCCAACTCAACACTCCGGAAGTACTTCCTTGAAAATCCAGAAAACGTGTTTCTAGACACGTTTCCTACACAGATTCAAGCAAACATACTTCTGTTCATTCTGAATATATTGTCAAGTCATTCAAGAGATGAGGAGTATTTGGGAGCGGACATGGAACCAGCATGGGGTGATGAGCCTGTTATAAAGGAAGCATTTGAGAAGTTTAGCAGGAAACTGAAAAAATTGGAAGAGATCATTGATGAAAGGAATGGGAATCCCAAACTGAAAAACAGACATGGTGCTGGGGTGGGGCCTTATCAAATTTTGAAGCCATATTCAGAGCCCGGTGTGACGGCAAGAGGGGTTCCTTGTAGTGTTTCTATTTAAAAGCTAATCCAACCAAAAGGTGTTTGATTCATATTGTAGGCTAAAACCATGCCGCAGAGCTTCATATATTAACTAATGTATGCATGTTCTTAAGAAATAGATATGAATTGTGACAGTAACAGTATCAGGAACTACAATAAAAAGGGCTAAGAACTTTTAGTCCCACTTTTGGTATCAAAATTGGGCAGTAACAAAAATTGAAATGAGAAAAATCAGCATTAACAGAAACAGGACACCAGATATTACCATGTTTCACCCCACAAAAGGGACAGATGTTCCAATAATCAACCAAATATTTATCTGCATTCAACAACTGCTTCAGCAGCTCGACGTGGCTTGCTTTTTCGCCTGCTTCCATGATGCCGGAATCCATTAGACTTGACTTGGACAATGCTTGTTTGGGTACCCTTACAGCTTGCATCATTAACTAAACCCATTTTCTCCTTCATTGAAGAGTTCCTTTTCCTCTTCTTCCCAGTTTCTGCTGGATTTGGATTTTCAATCACTTTGCCAGGATCAGTCTTAGCTTGCTCATCTATGGCTTCTACTCTTCCAAGCTCTTCTTCCTTGATTTCATCTGTTTGTGCCTGTTCTGCACTTCCATTTTGCTTCTGCGACGAAATTTTCTCTTCCTCACCAATTGTTGAATCTTCAAGACTGGTTATGATGGATTTCTTTCCTTTCCCTCTTCCTCTACCCATAGTTCTAAAATTTTCAACAAAAACTCATGCATAAAAGCTTACTGCAACATGTAGAAAAACGAATAAAAGAGTGAAACTTCAAATAAAGATTACAACATAAGATCACCAACTATAGCGCTTTTCAAGTTAACAAATAAAGATTACAACATGAAACTTCAGTGGCGAAACTAAATCAAAAGTTATTTGCTTACAAATACAATGAACAATAGAAATCTACTGTCAAACTAAGGGCTTTTTCTTATTCAGGTTCAAGTTCAACTAAAAGAAAAGTAAAATACACTCAAGCTCGGTGATGCATATAAAGAAGTGTTGGGACATCAAATCAGACAAGTAATGAACTAAATATGTGACAAAACAAGTATTGCAACATGATTTTAGCTGTCCAAGAGGTGAAAAATTCTATATGTATCCTGTATACATTGAAACATTTATGTCCAGAATGCATAGGTTAAAGACGACCAAACCCCAACAAAGATCCGTAATGGTGGGTTGAGGTAACAAAAGTAACCTCAAACAATCTGTCAAGTCGAGAAGAGTAAGATCCGAAGCAGGGCAACAGAAAATATAAAAGTAATCAAACCCCACTGGAATCTCGGAGCTCGAGAGTCAAAAAAACGCAATAAAGAGAAAAAACAAAACAAATATGGGGGTAAATCGAGAGGAGAGAGTGAAGGAAACCTGTTATGAGCGAGAAGGTAGCAGCATGAAACGCATCTGGGAGATTTTCCGATGGAAGGAGGAAGGGAAATAAGATTAGAGGAAAGCAAAAGGTGAGAAAAATCAAGAGTGGAGAAGAAGTAAACGAAAAGGAAGAAGCAGAGAGGAAGATTCGGCAATGGCAATGGCAATGGCAATGGGCAAAGCACCAAAGGCACAGAAGCAGAAGCAGATGGCGATTTGGCAAAGCTGGGAAGCGTGTGGGATTGGAGTTGGGGAGTTGGGGAGTTGGGGGAGGGTGAAGCAAGAACAAAGCCAGGGATTTCTTGGTAAACGAGGACCCGGAAGACTGCAACCAAATTAATTGCTCACGCCGATGCTCACATTATTCCTCTTTATTACACTACCAATTACCAACTACGATTTTTATAATTTTACACTAATTAAATTATATTTTCATTATTTGTTACACTTTTATACTTATCAATATAATTCTATTTCTTAACTTCAATTATTCAACCCATCTAACCACTTCTATATTTTAATTCATATATTCATCCACGTATCTTTAAACTTAAAATAGAATCACGTGTGAACCGTGGGTAAAACAGTAAATACACATCCAATTTACCTAAACTGAAAAGTCGCCTAAGATTATAAGGCTTTGAATCATAGTTCTCATTCATTCATGTTGCATGTATTTACATTTTCTAACCACAACAGTGGCGTTACTTACGGGGTATTTTTTAAAATATTTCAGTATTGTGTAGTTGCATTTTATTTCGTAGATCTTAAGTTTGTCTATAGCATTATTTTACGTCTTTTATTTGATTTTATTTTGCTTTGAACATATTTCTTTTTTTTTTTTTTTTTTTAAGAC